GAGACACCCCTCAGTTTAACTTCTGCCTCAAATAACTCAGTTCTGTGTTTGCTGCTAAAGTAGAGAGCAAACTCAGATCAAAGCTCCCAAGAAGGCTGGGCAGCTGGCAGCTGCCATGGGACACACACCAGCTCCTGGAAGCTTCCCTGCGGGGATGCCAAGCTGGCAGCCTCCAGCCACCCAGCCTGCAGCTGGCCTCAAGCAGGGGCCGCAGCTGGAAGGGCAGCACACGGCTGCAGATCCACGCAGGGATAATGTTACCTCTGCAGGCCCCCAACAGCAGTTAAAAGCTTGAGACTAGACACTTAGCTAACATTTTCCAGCCACTTAGCCAGATTTATGCCTACAGCAACACACAGAATAGATTTTATTATTCAAGCTAGAGATTTGAATCTTTGAAATTGACTAACTTATTTTATTGGATGAGATTAGGAAACACCTTCAAGGAAGACTTACATGTTTTACTGGGACAGCAACCCTTCCCTGTATTACAGAACACAGCAGTAATGGGAAAACAGCATCACAGCTGTATTCAAACACATGCACTGGTATCACAGTGTGGTTATGTCAAAATGCAATTGGAAGTTCAATACACTTAGGTAACTGAAATCACTTGTACACTCCCTTTTTAACAAAGGTATATCCTACTGTTTCTGTTCTAGTTGTGTTCCAGAGCAGAAGCAGTGGTGTGCAGTCACACACTGGGTATGGGTGATGGTCTTCAATGTCTACTCTGCCATAAGCTTCACGTTGCCCTTACAATTTCCTGTATTTCAGTGTAAAACATTACAACAAACACAGAAATAAAAGCCTAATATGTAGTACTGAGTTCATAAACGGAGTCCCTTATGGTTTAAAGACAGCTCTCAGAACTGGTAAATGGCAGCTCCTGCCTTGCTGGCAGGTCTGGCTGCTGGGCTCTCCCTTACCATTGCCATCACTGCCCAGTCCCACTGCCACTCTGACAGCTGGGCCCTCCAAAGGCTCCCATGCTGCCAAAGATCCAACCCTGGAGTTTAGCAAAGGCTGAAGACCTTAAGGTACCAAGTTGGAAAAAATGAGAGAGGAGCCATATGAAAAAAAACCAACAGACTGGGTTAATAGGAAAGGCAGCACACAGAAAGTAATGGCACAGCGCAAGAAACGGGATCTAAGGATTAGAGGTCAAAAAAGAACCACACAAGTTTTCAGGATATAATATTTTTATACAGCACATGTAATTTTTTAGGTATACTAAAGACTGAGGGAAAATAAAGAGTTCTCCAGATTCATATATTTTTCTGACTAATGCTGGTCAGTGATTTAGTTTTTTATTAACTGCTCAGTTCTCCTGTGGAAATGCAGCAGTAATTGATACTGCAACATTTGAGTCCTGAAATGGGTTCTTCCTATGCCTTTTGCCCAGACGGTGGTGGAAGAGCAAGGAAATGTGAAGCACTTTGAAGACTTTTTGCCAGAAAAACCCCACAGAATGATAAAAAGAAGAACCAAAGTAGGACTGCAGTCACCAGGTGGTGATCTTGAGATGTATTTGTGCAAGTCTGAATACCTTTTGTAGCAGTACACTGAACAGAACTTCTCTCTGCAATTTGTAGGTCTCAACCTTTTCTCTATTTTGGGATTACTAGGGTTACATAAAGCATCCTGTCCTCTTCTGGGGAATCCCTGTTAAAACAGACCAAATAATCCATCTGTGTAATAATTATCAGCTCACTGAGTCCTTAAAAAATACCTATTAATTCATGAAGGGACAAACATTATTCAAAGGAAGAATCTTAGGTTTGGTTTTTTTTTTATTAACTAAGTCAAAGCCTGGAACCTAGACCAAAGGCAAAAAGTTAAAATACTTGAGAATTATAATAAAAAAGCCCTTATTTTAAGATTTAATTAAAAGCTGTAATTTTAAGGTAGTTATTTATAATTTTTAATATAGTAACTGAAACAAATGAGTAGGTAAAATGGTAAGTCATTGGGGAACATGAGCTGTACATGATTAGTAATAATTCTTTGGCAGTCCAAATTCTAAATATTGAATAACAGCTTTTAATTAAAGTAACTGATTTAATTTCCCATGTCTAAGTTGGTAATAAGCTACCCCACAACCTGTAAAGCACGACTACAGCCAAGTATTTCCCTGTTGTGAATGTTCCACAGATTGTTAGCAATAAAACCATCTTGCCTGCAGATGCAGGCACTGAAGTGTACACACCCAGTCCAGGACTGTGCAGCAGCAAAATGCATCTGAGGAGATTCTATGCTGAAATTTTTCTTGCTCTTCTTACTATCATTGGGCTACAAGTACCTCACATTGACTTAGCACGCAACCAATACCAGTATCTCTGGCTTTTGTAGCCAATGCAGCAGGTGATGGTCTATGCTCCTCAGAAGCTGCCCAGCTGATGTGTGCCGTAGCAACATGTTCTTACTCAGGCAGTTGCTGCAGGCAGCTGAACTAAGTCAAGATGAGGCCTGCAAGGGCCCTTGAAGTTCAGGCGTCCTCAAATCATGAGTCATTCAGACTACTTGTGTCAATACTCAACCCTGACATCAGCTGGTTCTAAGAGTTCTGACTTCCTTTTGACTCCAATGCATACACTTCCACATTTTGGGAGGATGAAAGGAAGACAAGTTTTCAAGAGTGATTCCTGTTGATTGCATTCAGCTCCAGACTTGACTGCCTTCCATTAGACCATTTTTGATTGCACAGATGCAGACAGTTGACACTATTCTCACCACTGCCAATGAGCACAACCATCACTGGAAAAATAGCAGAAAGTAAGAGATCTGGCTCGCAGCGTTGGCAGTCCTCTGAGTTTCCAAAACAGGGAAACTAGGTCAGCCGGACCCTTCTGAGGTATCAGCCGGACCCTTCTGAGGTAGTGGCTGGACACTAAGAGCTGAGCTACCTCTGTACTACCTCAGTGTCCACTGCAGTGCATGCCAGGCAGTGGTGGTGTCAGCAAGAAGCATTTTTGATCATTACTCTTCAGCAGCAGAGCCAGGACAACAGTAGCAGCTGAAGTTTTAAAGTCTGGAGTCTCAGCAGATGGTCCCACTTAGATCTTTACCCTAAATCATCATGCCAACATATTTAGTCTTTTCCTCACTGGAACCTTACAATGTTTTCCAGGAACCACCAAGATATTCTTAAAGTAAGATAATATCTGGTATAAGTTTAAAGTTGTCCAGGGAACTAACCCTGCACTTTTGTATATGATCTGGGTAGGTACTGTACATACTCACTTGAGATGCAAAAATGAGCTGGGTTGAACTTCTCGTTGCAAATACTATTGCTTGAATCCAATGTGTCATCTGCCTTGTAAAATATTACTGTAAAAACTTATTTCAAAGAAACAGCTTAAAACAATGTCTAAAATGCAGGAATTCCATTTATTATATTGAGAACATGAATTGCAAGATGTTTTGCAATGCATTCTCTTCACTCTAAGTACAATACAGTACACTGTTCTCGACAATAAGTTACATAAAGGCAAATTTTATGTACATGTAAAAAGGATCAGTGCCCAGAACTATCTGCACAGCATGTCTGCTATTCAGAAATCAACCATTTAAATATTTAGTTGCCTTCAGAATTCTTGAAGCAAATTGAATTAATAAACAGATCTTGATTACCTGGTTTGGTAAGGGTTTTCAACTAATGTTTGAATTCAACAGAGACCATGCAAATAATTTAACCACTCAGTTAGCATTCTCCTTATTCATTCTATAAACAAATGTATTAAAAATGAGGCATGCCATAAGGTAGTATATAAGACAACATGGAAAAAAACGACCTGCCTGCATTTAACCTGTTTATGCATCCCAAAATACCCAAAAGGGAAGTAGCGAAGATATAGTGCCATTGTACAAGGCACTAATGAGACATCAGCATAACTCTGCTTATGCATGCTTTAGGAAAAATAAACAAAACACAAAAAACCCAGATGAAAACAAAACATAACAAAAATGCCCTCAAACTGAAAAGGAATAAGGCTATTTAAGGATACTTAAGGATAAATAGTGGAATGCAGTGCATTGTGTGAAGCAGCAGCAGCACTTGCTTTTTCAGTCACTGAAACAGCTAAGAACATGAGACTGCCTTCCAAAAACAGGTCAGGAAAATGCCAAAAACAAAAAGAAAGCTAAAGGACAATATTGGTGTAATAGCAAATGGGCCTCTAATACATTTATATGGAAATAAAAAGATGATTCCTCAACTTCAAGAACAAGATGTACTGGCAGGGCCTTTAAATAAAGAGGAGTGAGTAAAAAAACTTATAGCAGACAAGCTTAATAGTATAGCTCACTTTATAGAAGGGATTCTGTGATGCAGCATCTACTTGGGAATAGACCAGACCCAGAAACACCCAACTAGAACATTCCTAACTTGTCTGATCCATCAAGAGAAGAAGGTGGTGTCTCTTCTGCAGTGTGTAATTATATTATATGATCTGAAGTTCCACTGAAAAAGGTTTTCATTTCTCCCCACCTCACACAAATTATTCTATATTCAACCATATGAATATCTGTTAATACAGCAAAAACAGCACAAAGCCCTTGCTGTGAAATCAGCAACCTGAACAGCTGGTGTGCCAGTCAGCATCTCCCTAACACCTTTCGTTGTGAGATTGTTTCACACTTGTCTATTGATTCTACTGTGGAGTGTAAGTACAGTATCCTTCTAAAGTCACACTGCAGTAAGCCATACAGACTGGAAATACCCAAGAAAACACAAAGGATTATTTAATGTAATTCTTAAAATAATGCAAAGATAAGAATTGAAATGTACCGTGTGGAAAAGTGTTGAGTTGTACATACCACTGTTTTTTCCAATCAATACTGAAGACACTTTCCTTGAACTACATATGCTTTCCAATTTATTCGAGGCGCTTGAACTTGCAAGATACGTAGGTAGTAGCATATCAGTCAGCAAATTACTTGGAAAACAAATACAAGAACCGAACCCCCTTAATTCTTCTTCACTGGAAAAGAGAGGCACTGCATTTGTAAGCTGAATTAAGGCTGTAAAATGATGCTGGTTCATTGTGAATTTGAAGTCATCCAACATCCTGGGGGGTGACATTTAACCCACTGCTTCACTGTTAGTCCTGTAAGCCTGCTTACGGAGGTGAGTCTCGATCTCCTCCCTGAAGACCAGCATCCCAAGGTGTGAGTGAGAGGCCTCGTTCATGGCTTTGGACTGGATACACATGCGATACTGCTCTGGAGTCAGTTCGTCTGCACAATGTTTTTCGTGCCAGAGGTGAAAGAGACCAGGGACTGGTGTCCTGATCACAATAAGATCACCATGCAAGTACTTTCTGTAAAGGTGAACATCCTCACCACCCCAGCCTTTCACTTCCAAGTCAAAACCCCCTACAAAAACAATATCAGACAACATTATTTTGGCACACAGGCTAATATAAGGCAGAAAGACCAGCACTCCTTGTGTAGTATATTTACCAAATCTGGTATGACATACCAGAAATTCTGGAGAAATTAACTAAATTCCCCATGCCAAAGCATGCCAAATTGAGAAAGAGGAGCTTCAAGCACACCGCATCCTTTGTGGTGGAAAATGCCCAGGACAAAGATCATGCACTGCTAGCTTCAGAAAGTCTCTTAGGACAGTGTTTCAAAATCACATTATGCATACATCCCATGTGACAGCTGCAGAGAACTTATAGCAAAACCTCACTGGCTTTGCTTTTGTGTTATTTTTAGCAATCATAATGGATTTTAGCAGCTGGAAAATGAAGTGGTCATACACCATATGAAAAGCCCTCTCAAAAAACGCCTACTTCATAGGTCACAACTCAAAAAGCTGGATTAAGGAAAGGAACCTGTTCCACCATTTTAAGTTCTCTTACCTTTCTAGGGCAATACAGAAAATGGACCCAGACTTATGCACAATTTCAAAATTCCAGAATTATCAAGTCTTGGTTTAGCATATACTATACACATAGAAGTATGAGTGCTATTAGAAAATCAGCCTGTACTCAAAGCTGTTATAGGGCATATAAGGCTACAATGTTACACCTGGCAGACTATCTTCAAGACCATCTTTGAAATTTAAGCACACCAAGCTCTTCTCAGTTTTCACAGCATGCCACGAGGGGGGGCCAAAGGATATTGCAAAAGCCTTGAACAACTGATTCAACTACTCACGTTTATTTAAAGGAAGTCGAATGCTTCTTGTCTAGGTTAGTGGTTTACTTGATAAATGTGTTTCTTAAACTTGATTAATTTGCTTCAGACAGTAACAAAGTACAAAAAAAATTAAGGATTTTTTAAAGCTCTGGAGTGAAACATTGCAGATAAAAATACTGCAAAAATATATCTAAAAATATTTTAACAAACTCTCAACAGATGGGACATTAAAATCTAGAAAAACTGATTTATCTAACTAGTCAAACTTGTCAAGAAATTCTGACTGCTGGGATTGGGAAAAAAATGGAAGTAAATGCATTACATTCCTGTTATGTATGAACAGAGAATCAATTTTTAAACACATACAAAACCTTTATTTTGCAGTTTAATCTTACCAACAGTCAGAAAGTCTGTCCGATATTGACATGTCATCCCAAAGCCAAAATCTCGCCAGAATCCAGAATCCTTCTTGTGTACCTGCAATTTTAAAACACTATCATACTGAAATGGAAAATATATCAAAGAAGGTACACTGCACTTGGTTTTGTAGAAATCTGAGTTTTCCCAATCATTTCCTGAGCGCAGGATATAACACCTCAAGCATTTCAGTCTCATGCACGAATGTGGACTTCCTAATTACCTGGTATTCAGTTCACCCTTTGCCATCCAATCCCAAATATTTAAAAGTTAGCATGTTTACTTACCTTCTGCCACACCACCTCTAACTTGTCTATGTATCTGCTCAGACCAAGCATTACATTTTTGATAGCCTATTGCCATATAATCTGTTCCTAATATTCCGGTTCCTACTCAGCTTTTAAGGCCACATTTGTCTCTTCCTGTTCTTGTATGACACGAGAAGTGAGCCCTGTGCCATCAGCCACCATCAGGTTTTTGGATTCAAGTCAGTTAACAGCAGAGTGTCAGGCAGGAGCTCACTCCTCTCTCAGCTGTTACTACCCAAGACCATTTGAAAAAGCTTCCCTACTACTTTTAGCAGAATCCTTGTGACCAGTGGAGGGGATTGGGGTTATGATTTTATTTTCTTTTAGTAAGACTGTATTGCATTCTCTTTCTCTCCTCTAAGCTTGTCTACCTTGTAAGTCCCAGCTACAAAACCCCCATTTCATTTATGCAGTTTCTGGAGAGTCAGGTTGGACACTGACTGTGGCCATTTCATCTTCAGGCAACAATGACCCAGAAATACAGCACGTACCTCTCTCTGCTTGCCCAAATTTTCCTTCAGCCTCTTTTCTTTAATGCTTGCAGAGTTAAGTTGTTTGTTATTTTGACTACAAGCTCAGTGTTTCTCATTTCAAAAGCAAGATAAAATTAGTGGCACAACAGCCAATGGGTCTGGTAGATGTTGGATAGCAAAGGAGAAGAAACAATTTGCACAAGGTACAACTTGCCCACCAACTGACTCAACATCTCTGCCTACCTCAAGATACATAGCATACTTACACATCTACCATTGTAGTTAGCAAAGAGAAGCCAATACTGAAGGAAGCTAACTAAGCACCATTCCTAGGGTTTTTTTTCCTTTCATCACTTCTTTATTTTTTGGAACATAAGACAAAAGCTGCTACCATGTTATGCCACATCCTCATGAAATACTGGCTTTCCAAGCCACAATTAAGCAATAGATCAGAACTACCAACTTTATTTGATTGACAGCACATTTTTTCCTCTTAGCAGAACTCTGAGTTTATCCAAGAACATGTTTAGTACTGCTTGACAAACCTTTCTTCCAAGTGCTTTGCCCATAATGGAGCATAGTGTTCAGCTTAGCTATGCACTGCCAAAGGCCGTAAGATATCCCAAACAGACTATTAAGTTACACTTAATTTTGTTTTAATAAAAAGCACGACTAATTCTATCCAGAATAAGTCACCCTGCTTACCAATTGTTGCTCCACAGGGGGTGGTATATCTTGGTTGGCATAGACAATAGCAGGATTATAAAGGCTGAATACCACAGGATAAAACACCTTTTTCCCTGGAAGTCAAAAGGTAATTGTTATATATATAGAAAGTATTATATATCACAGTATCAGATTAGATGACAGTGAAAAATCCCTGCAAGGATGGTATGAGGTAAAGCTAAGAAAAGCCCAAGTACAAGCAACACTTTGCATAGCTTAAGTTTTACAAGTTTGATGCTTTGCACAGGCATTTAGAAGTGTACACATCCAGCATGTGCAAGGGCATTAAGCATCATGAATGTCCTGATTATACTGTGACACCAGTTCACCAGACACATATCTACTATAGACCTGAGATAAGTATTGTTCAAGGATCTCTTGCATTGCCTCTGGTGCAAGGTATCAATGACAGTCCATGACAATACTCAGCACACTGGTTTGGGCATGAACTCTGAATGCGTGAGAAGCATTTTCACTTGAAGCAAAGGTGATGAACTGTCAGTGTGAACTATCAATCAGTTGCCCAAACTCCCTTTCTTGTGAAAGCTCACAGGATGCTACTCTCCTAAGTTTTACAAGTGATTTATACAACTTATTTCATAAACTGCAGAGACAGACAGAAATTAAAGAAAAAAACAAGAAACAGAATCCAAATATCTGGCTATTACCAGATTTTCTTGCCTGTTTATTATGTTAAAAAAAAAGTATCTATTAATTCCAAACTGACATCAGAAGAAAATGATTTCTGGCTTCAAGAAATCTGGAATAAGAGTAAGCATTAAAAAAACCCCACAAACAAACAAACATTTGACAGGATTCAATCTTAACTAGTGCACTTGTTAACTCCAGAAAGCTTTATCCTCCTTCTTGGCAGAAGCTTGTAGAACAAGCAGGCTTCATCCAGACTTGAGAAAAATGGTCAGAAAATTTCAGTCTGGCATGTAAACGTGGAACATCAGTCCAGTCTCTGTAAGGAGCACATTGTGTAGCTCTACTGAAAACCATTGGTACATGATGCATGTTGGCCATACAAGTTTAAGAAGACAAACCAAATCTGTTCGAGATTTCAGTATAACAAAAATCATCCTCCACCCTAAGTGCTGCATTAGACAAGCAGTCTAATTCTTAAAGCAATTACTCTCAACATTTCTTTTAGACAGCCAAATCTTAAGCAAGTAGGAAAACTGTACTTGCACAAAAAAGACCACACATTCTAAAAACAAGCTACACTAAGCAGAAGTTATTTCTCACTCTAAATACTATCAGGTCTTCTTAACAGAGTATTTTCCATTTTCCTAGGTGCATGGTACTGAATAAGCTCCACCATTCAAGTTGGTTTACTAAATTCTTAATACATGTCAGTTTAAGGCAGACAAGATTACAAGACTGGATTACAACAACTGTAAAGGAACATACCAGGCTCAGCATTTAAGCGACAACTGTTGAGGAACTCAGCTGTGAAATAAACATCAACATCACAGAAGAACATCAAAACTTCACCCTTTTCCCAGGCTCTGGCACCCATGTCAAGTCCCCGGCCTCGGTTAAATTCCTCATTCAGAGAGACAAGCGTGTAATTGTGGAAGTCAGTTTCTCTAAAGGAAAAACAGAAACAAACACAAAATAAATCTAGGGGGAGAAGAAGGGATCATGTATATTTTTTCAGCATTTTACAGTAATTTAATTCCAGAAATTGAAAAAAAAAAGTTATATAATCACAAAGAGAAATACTGACTGTTCCACTTGCCTATTTTAAGTGTCACAGTTCAGACAATGTAAAAAGTTGTCCTCAGTCTTACTTCGTAACTTCACTTTGCCTGTACTCATTCAGACAGACTGAAAAAGCCTTTTGGCAACTGATGTGAATTCAAGTGTTCTCTGAAATCATGATGCCATCTAAAATTTGTCCCCACAAACTACAATGTCCTGACTAATAAAGCAGTACCTGTGTCTTCACTGTATCAGAAAGCGCAAATGGAAAGCCAGAGCCCTGGACCACCCAACTATCTGGTGATGCCACCATAACCCAGTCAGTTTACTGCTCCTCCTCACTATTTCATAGCACACATAACTGCACTCATCACAGAAGAGGGAAGGAACACCCAAGGGAGATTGCAAATGCACCCTGCCCTGGGAATATTTTCCAGAAAAGTTAAATGTCTACTTCAGAGGGCAACACTTGCAACACAGTGAAGATTTTCAACAGTAGCACCATTAAGAAGAAATAAATGCCCAGGGTGTTCACAGCACTGAATCTGACTCAGTGCTGTGAGAAGATTAAGACATCTCACAGGGAACATGGCAGGCAACGGAAAGGCCTCAGGAACAGCAGCAGCTGGCACTTGGCAAGCCAAGTGCCAGGGAGAAGATAGCAGCATTCCTCCCTTCTTAAAAGGTGCCTGTGCACACAAGGCCAACTCTGTCACCTTTCAAGCCAGCGACACAACCGCCTGTGCCTAAGACACTTCATCCAGCTGAGCCTCGGCCTGCACTGCGAGGTGAGGATACTGGGGAGCTCAGCTCTGTCCTGGCTAACAGAAGTAACAAGTTCCCAGCTAGGGACGAGCACAAGAGCTTAGGCAGAGGAGAAGCCCCTTAACTACAGACTTAACAGATGCTATTACCTGTCCCAACCTTCTGGAGGAAAAAACAAAGCAACAATTGGGAATTTTACACTGTGCTACTTGAAGTTACCTAGTACATAGAGGTAGACTCTGCAGCCCACCAGCCTACTTTGATTACATTACTCATCCTTAAATAAAACTGATTCTCCAGTAAATAAATTATTGAAATATAAATGCCAGTTCAAAAGAACTTTAATTCCAATCAATCTATTAGCATGACTGAATATTCACTGCAAAACTCATCCCTGTTGTTTTTTGTACTGTCAGAAACCTCAAAGGCACTGCTGCTAGTCTTTTTTGGCCCGTAACTTGATTTTTAGTAGTCTTCATGAGACTTAGCAACTTACGCTGTAAAATGCCAACCAAAAATGCCAATGCAAAACCATTACAGTAAACAAAAGGTTACTATAAATAAAGTTTACTTTTCCTATTAACCTGTAATGGACTAAAAAAACTTTGTTATTTCCTCCTTTTTAAAAACAATCTCAAATGCCAATCAGTATTGTTTGCATTGACTGACATTGGATTGACACACTTACCTGGCTACAGATTCTAGGATGCTTTTTACTTCTGACAGCCCATCTTGTCCAAAATATACCACTGTGAGGTGAACACGCTTATCCTGATGAATACATACATCTCTATAAGCACAAAGAGAAGCTCATATTAATAATTATTTTCAATACAACAGAAGCTTCTGGTACTTAAAAAGCTACTACATTTAGAAGCATTAGCAGATCTAAGTATTCTGGTAAGACTTCAACTATCTTCTAAACAGAAGAAAAAAAGTTTTCCCCTCGTCTTTCCCATTTGAATCAGAAGGTTCCCATACTGTGTGTTTCATTCCAACACCTTATTTTATAAACAGGAGCACAAAAGATGATGGAAATAAAGAAATGCTGTTCAAGATCACCTGTAACCAGGTTCACCATGGCCCTGGCATAAAAAGGGGGTTTTGAGCAGTTTGAGTTAAATCCTTTTACAAGGAATATTTTCTCCATACAATAAGGTTCAATTACAAACATCTCAAGGCAGTTGCACAAAATGTTGGAATAATTATTTCTGTTACAAAACCACCAGAACAGAAATTCATTTCTAAAAGGCAACAAAATACCAAAAATCAGCAATATAGCTCACTATGTAATTTCATGCACCTACCTAAAGTTTTGCATAAATTGTGCAAATGCCTCAGTTCTTCCAGCAAGAGGGACAATAATGTTAATCATTGATCTAGAAATATCAACCGTTTCACTCTTCACTTTCATGAGGGGTCCAAAGGGTCGGAACAATGTGACATGCCTGTATTCCATGCCATCCATCTTCTTATAAAACAGCTCATACTGTGTCCCTTTATCTCTTTCTGTACGATAGTAACCTGAAGAATAAGTCACACAAGTAATTTGTAAAGTAAAAGACCCCAGCAATTGCATTTCAGAAACACTGTTTTTCCTGAGAACTATAAAGAAGAGAAGAATAAAGCTTTGGGGGGAAAGGTTCTGGGTTTTTCCTAAAAACCAATTAAAAAAAATTCCACAAACCACCACCAATTACAATCACACCCCTACCTCTTAGACCAGATCTGAAATACAATTTCAGACTCCAGCTTCCCCTTAGATAGGTTTTACGGTCCTACATCAGCTGCTCAGGCAGAATTAGTTGGGTCTTCCCAAGAGAAAGGGGATTCAACTATTTGCTATGGGAAAAGAGCTGAAGTGTAATATTGCCTATTCTTAAGCTCTTCAGTAAGAATCTCTCCAGGCTAGTTCACAGTTAAAGCTGAGATCATCTGGCCAGCAATCAACACAAGCTGCAGGCCAAACAGATGACACAGTAACTTGTTTGACAAAGCCTGTAAAATCTGAAATATAATAATGTAAAAAAAGAAAAAAATAACCCATGTGATAAATGCTGGAACACTTATAAACTATTTTCACTGCTGACCACTAGCTACAGTGGTTTCTGTCCCATAAATAAGGATAGTGGCATTTTACAGCAGGTGTGGTTCTCTAAGGACATAAGCAGGTTTGTACATAGCTGTAACACTGAGAAAACAATACTGTTCTGTACAAACAGGATTACCAACTCAGAGACATTTTGTTCTCATTGGGTAGGGAAATCTGTCCCACTCAGAACAAATATTTAGGTTGGTTGATTTCAGGTCCATTGAGGAAGTAAGTTGAGTCAACAGCCTCTCTAATTTCACACCACAAAGGAAAAGATAGAGTCATCTGTGGCTTTTACTGACCTGATCTCTGATGGCAATCCAGTATCTAGACTAACCTGAGAGTATGACAGGAAAGATCCTTCAAAAGACCTACCATGTGTTCATCCCATCTCATCTCTCCTCTCGCCCCCACAAGAAAAAGTATATTACAGTGAAGAAACAAACTACACTATAAACCAAACAACATTCAGTTGAGCTGGCCACAGACCACTGAAAAAGTCATGAACAACTGCATATCCCAAAGTGTGATCAACAGACCAGCCTTTACACCATGCAACTAGTGTACTTCCCTTCACTGGGATGCCTCAACTACCTCTTCTGCAAGCCAGCTTCCCAAACAGTTACTGTAGTCCCACTTCTGAATTTCTATGCTAGCCTCCTACCCAGAGACGAAGTTATAGAAAATGAGATAGATTACCTGTTGTGGTGACATGGAACGCTGTCTCATGCTTAGTATTGCCACTGTCCTTTTTGTAACTGTGGTTTTTGCAACTGAAATCAGGAAGACTCTAGTTTTGCAAAGCAGCCCTCAAAGAGCAGCTTTTGTTTGTTTAGCTCAGTAACTAGAAAGAAGTCCTCTTACAGTTTACAGCTGCATACACCACTTTGCTCCAACCTTTTTCCTCTCCCAGGCTCCCTTTACAGAGATGTCCTTCCCCTTCATCTACCCAGTTCCCTCCATGTACTTCTGCTCCACCTTCCCTTCCCAAACCAAATCCAGTTTCATTCACTGATGTTCACCTTCTGCCTGTTCTGTGTCTGTCAACAGCCTCTCTTATACAGCAAGGTCCCTATACTGCCCTCTATTATTCAGCTCTTTCTTCTGGGAATGTGCACTGGCAGACCTGAGAGCCAATGTGGATGATCACCACACAGGGTCTGTGGGAGACAGAGAGTAGCAGAACAAGCTGGTGCCATCACACTAAGTGAATGGCAACTGAATCTAAGCTTTCAACTGAAATGCTTTTTACCCTCTGGAAAAAGTTTTGCAATGCACTCCTTTAAGAGATAGAAATCCCCATCTATTTCTTTGTGAACACAATGCTGCATAAAATATGCACCAAATTCTAATGCTCAGGAAAAGCATAGAAGTTTCAAACCAGTATTAATGCCAAGTATTGAAAAGGGTGTTTCAGTTAAACTATGAAAGTTCAAAGTTGACTGTAAAATGCAGAAGTTCTTAGATCCCTCTCAATTCTTTTCCACATCAGCCCTTTGTGCAGCATAGGCCAGCTCTGTATCCTTAAAACAGCTTCTTGGTTATGGGAGCAGCTGATGCACCACAACATTTGCACAACACGCTTCAAAGCGACGTGTGGTATTAAGTATTGTATATTATATTTATGTAATATCCAATACCTGTTCACAGACTAAAATACCATTTATAACATAAGTGAAGTTTTTAAAAGCTTTGCAGGTTGCCAAAAAACACTTGCCAATAGCTTATCTTTAATTGAAGGATAAGCTTAGATGTCAGTCTGTAACAGAAGACTGCAGTGCAGAATAAAAATTTCTAGATTAAAGTAAATTCAAAAAAAGCACTGCTGTAACTTTATAAAGGCCTTAATATGCAAGTCTGAATTTAAGTAGCATTTCGCCAACATTTAATTGCTGGAACATAAGATTCCAAACTTTTGAATCTCAACAACCTTAAACAATCCTCAATCTCAAACAATCCAGCACCACACTTCTTTTAAATAGTAAGTATGTGCTCATCAAGTTATTCTTGCTGTGAGCCAAAGCCTTATGTAATATACTAATTTGAATACTTTTATGGGATTAAAGCTTCTATACACAGAAGCCAGGATTGAGAACCAAAAGAAAAAGAACTCACATCTGGTTTACTTCTTAATGTATTTAGGTTTTTAACACTTGGGACTGAGTCATGGAATAAAAACTGCTACCTCACCTTCCAACCAGCATAAACTGGCTGCCACCCAAAACAGAGCTCTGTAAGCAAAGAGGTAACAAGCAGCAGAAATAATTTAGCAACTGTTATTCCTGGTCCACTAAGTTTTACTCCTTTTGCAGAAGTTCTGTTTCTTACTAAACAAAATCTGTGAATATTGAGGATCAATTATTATCAAGGCCAAAAAGCTGTTCTTCTGTTGCCTCAATTACTATTACTGGTTTTACAACAAAGAAAGCTATCAAGAAAGTGTTTGGCCTATGGATTTTCATATGTGTCTTTTTGTGTGCGTGTATTAAAAATCTCCCTTGAAGTTCCCAGGACACTAGCCAGTTTCTGGTCTTATGCAGGACATATTAAAGAAGGTGTTTCCATGACAATCAGTCCACACTGTTCTATGGATGGCAAGGACTCTGGCAGAGTTTTGACCTTCAGCTTGCAGCATTGGGATAAACAATTTTTACATGCCAAGAATAGGTGGGGAGTCTTCCCTGGAGGTTCAGATCTCAAGATAGTTTCTGGCCTTTGACCATGTCGAAACACAGAAGCAAGAAAAATGGACCCAAACAGCAGCACTCAAATTCTGGTAAACGTTCAATAACAAGACCTTCATGAAAGATTACCTAATTGTTAATTAACTTCTGAAAATATGCTAATGCTTCTATCCCAAGGTTTAATTAAAAATGTCCACCCAATGGAAAACCTTTTAATCTCTTGACAAAATAAACCCCTTATCCTCATAAATGTAACCCAAACAATCCAGTTACATTGATAGTAAAGTACAGATGTCCATTGAAGCTCCTCATTGAGATATGCACCACTATTCAGGACTTCATGTCACAGCCTTCTGAAGAAAGTGGACAGACAGACATAATACTATTATGCTCTTCCCATCTTACTCACCCGTTTCTCACTATCATCAATCACAGATCTCAAATCTATTTTTAATCCACAACTATCTCTGAAAGCCTGATTCAGCGGTTAGGTTTACCGTAGTCCTAGACCTAGACTATGTGAAAATATATAATACTGCAACTTTGATCCTCCAAAGAGATATTCATAGAATCTTAGGGGCTGGAAGGGACCTCGAGAGATCATCTAGTCCAACCCCCCTGCCAGAGCAGGGTCACCTAGAGTACATCACACAGGAACTCATCCAGGTGGGTTTTGAATGTCTCCAGTGAGGGAGACTCCACAACCTCCCTGGGCAGCCTGTTCCAGTGCTCTGTCACTCTTACAGTAAAAAAATATTCTTCATCCAAGGAGAACAGCATAGTCCTGCTTCTCATATGCTTAAGTCTAATAGGAATATTAAGAAAAAAAACACTTAAGAGTTTCTCAAAGAGCAACTGCAGAACAAGACTTATTTCAAGGTCAGCTTTTAATTGTGTTAATATTAGAAAGCTGCCCAGCAGAAAAGCACCTGGGGATCCTGGTCAACAGCTAGATGAACATGAGCCAGCAGTGTGCCCAGGTGGCCAAGAAGGCCAACAGCATCCTGGCCTGCATCA